TTGAGATATGAAGATAGAGAGAATGAACCAAAATTTGAAGACATAGATGATGATTCAAATGACAAAGATTAACCGATGTTATCTGATCATTCTTTTGATGAGTAGTTTGTCTTCTGTATGCTTATTTCACAATTGTACATATAATTGCGATTTATCATTATCTTTTTTCAGGACATAATTTAATGTTTATTTTTTCAAGAGATGTCATGCAGAGAGCGTGGTAGACTCGTTGTCTGGTAAGGACAACAACTCTGTTGGCAAGCGTGGCGACCTGTGCATCGATGACATGGAGGAGTTCACGAAGATCGGCCTCCAAGATATAGATCACCAGGAGGTGGAGGCCCCAACTTTGACTGATTCGGGGTCGAGGAGAGGCCCTAACCATGAGATATCGACACCTAATCATCCGAGCCAGCAACCATATCTTTCTATTTTAGGCAATGGGTAAGTAGATGTGGTATAAGACTTTATATTACATAATAAAATGATATGAATATCTTTTGTGTTGTATATATTTTTTTAATTGTGCAAGTTTAAATATGCCCATGTTAGCCGGGAGATGACGACTTCATGTAGGTCTTCCTTTGTTGATCTGTGACATAGATGGAAGGAAGTCCCTCCGGAAGCCCGTGACTCAATGTTTCAGCACTTTCGGGTTGGTGTACCCTTTTTAATGTAATTATACATATAAGATTATTGTTTTTACATTGATAGAAATATTGTGTATGTAGGCTAAGTTACAGTGGAACCAAAGCTTAATGACATGGTTCGTGATTTATGGACCAAAGCCATGCATAATACGTACTCAGATTGAATGAGCGTTGCACGTGACTGGGGCGTGACACATGCCTATCCCGATGCTCGACAATGGGACGATGAGGACTTCTCATGGATTAGATTACACGTCCTATATGGATCCTAGAGAGGTTTTAGATTCAGATGATTGACCAAGTATGTATCTTTATTGTGAGCTTTGTGAATTGCCATATGTTTTGTACCGACTTATATACGTGTTCTGTTTTTTTACAGGTTTGGGATACTAAGCCTTGAAAAAGGAAATTCATGATCAATAAGGCCAACCTAAACACAAAGTTTGAGGGGGTTTCGTCCAGGCACACCGAGGGATCGATCAGTACTACAGAGCATCGAGATAGAATGGTGAGTATATAATTTTTTTAATATGTAATTAGTTCTCTATGTTTATTAACAACTTAACGTAATTGTCTAATGTAGGCACAGGTAATGGATCATGAGTCGACTGCTATTGAGGTGTTTGAGCGTACTCACTACACGAATCAGAAGTTTGATCCATGTTTGTTTGGCCGGCCTACCAAACCTCCTCAGTTCAGTTACCCCATAACTTCTAGGTATCATGTAAGTTTTCTAAAACCATTACTTTGGTTTATAGATACATTTGATAGGTTTAAAGTAATATGCTTTAATAACCATAGTGATGTTATAGGTTTGGGCTACCATTGTTGCATAGACGTTAGGCTAAGTAGATAGGTTGAGAATATGACTACCTTTGGTAATTAGAATGCTTTAATTGTTAAAAACAAGCATTGGATAAGTTTGATTTACAGCCGTTATACTGCTGAAATTTCTACATATATAACCTCATGTGTTTTTGTTTTAGTGAACCGTAAGAGCGATTTCAATCGCTTAGGGATGAGTCACAGTCTAGTGCCGACACCCCTCCCCCTGATGAGGCATCTCTTTGGGAGCAGAGTGTCGAAGGACGAAATAAGGGTCATCTTTTTGGTTTGAGGACCTCCCAGGATCCCTCTTATGCTATGATCGGTAAATGTAGCAATAACATTGGAGATCATACGATATCGTATCAACAACGGAGGTATGTTGGTTATATTGTTATATACTTTCTTATTACTTTCATTACAAACAAATTACTGATTTTGTCGAATATTGAATATTTAAAGGTAGTAGAGTTGAGAGAGAAGTTGGCAAGGGTAGAGGAGAAGGCGCGACTATGGGAGGAACGTCATCAGGCCAAGATGGAGGTCGAACGGAGAGTAGGGCAGATTTGGAGGCCGAACATGCCAGACGCGCTGTCCATTTAGCTGAACAGATCACATTATCGGAGCATTTTGCTGCATTTATGCAGCAATCAAGATACGTTTCCCCCTCCCTAACAGCCCCCACCTTCTGGTAGTTAGATTATATGAATTTGAACTTTAAATTGTATGAACTGAATATTTTAAATTATATGAATTTGTTAGTTTTAATTTGTTGACAGTTTTGGTTTGTTATTTTATGACCAGGTTTTGTATAAATAAATATAAGAATTATGTAATTTTAAATTATTTATTTTTAAATTATTAAGTATTAACGAGGGATTAGCGATGGAAAATTCGTCGCTAAAAGTTTTTGGTCCCTCACTAATTTGTTGTTAAAAGTCCCTCGCTAATCCGTCGCTGAAAGCTTTCCCTTGCTAATCCGTCACTGATAGAGGTCCCTCGCTAATCCATCGCTAAAAGAATTTGTCGCTAATCTGTCGATAAAAGAATCTATCGTTGAAAGTTTTTCATTGCAAATCCGTCACTGAAAGTTTTCCGTCGCTAATCCGTCACAAATCTGACCCGTCGCTGAAGCATTACCTACGAGCTTTTGACCGACGGATGATTAACGACAGATTATGCCTTTAGCGACGAATTTGCGACGGAATTTTCTGTTGCTGATACTCCTCATATTTGTAGTGGTCCTCTCTTCAAAGTATATAATATTTATATACGACAAATACTTATGCATACTCCTCAACCTGCGGTAAATTTTGAACTTTGAACCTCTTGAAAGACCGGGATCTACAAGTAATTAACTCGGATACAGGATACCATTAGAGCCAATGACCCTTTTGGTTACATGTTCATGTTGTATGTATCATAATTTCTACTTGGAGCTCATATGCTCATCTTGCGAAATCATTATTTTATCGGCTTTTTGTTTATAGGTATACCCAACAAATTTAAGGGCAACGGGCGTTGGAATAACGACGACTATCAAGCGATCTGGTGGCATGGTGTGCCCTCTTGTGGCAGTTGGGTTGGTTAACATTTGCAATCAAACACTTACATTTATGTCGTTTGAGGCTATGATACTTGTTTCAGGACTCTGTTTTATGGTCCTTCCATTTGAAACCAAAGGGAGGGAACTAATTGACGATAGAAATTGAAATCTTTTACAATATGCATAATAAATATTTATTGTATATAAATAAATATTATACACATAACAGATTACATATGCAAATTGGTGGAAATATATCTTCACCCCCAACTTATCACGCAATTAGTTTAGGGCCCGTTTACTAAACGCTTATCCGGTAAGTACTTATTGGACAATTTTTCTCACTGGATGAACATGACAAGAGCCAAGAATCTTACCCTGTAAGATCGATGATAAGGATGGAGAGTCTTACCCGGTAAGTGATGGTGACGACTCGAGTAAGCGCTTACCAGGTAAATTGTTGCATTGGATACGTTTTGATGTACTACAATTTTATCCGATAAAATAAATGATGGTATTGACTCTTACTGTAAGCACTTAATGGGTAAGCATTTGGGTAAACGGCCCCTTAGTATTGTTCTAATTATATCAAATACAAAACAGACAATTATTTTACAACCTTATCATGATAGTTCATTCTGCATATCAAACGTTATCTTAACATACTTCAGCTAACACCTAATTACAACAAATAAATGTATGTACCAAATTTTCTTTTTTTTTTCCACCACGAATATATCCCAAAAAATTCTTATACGTTATACCACATCATTCATTTCTTAAAGAGATGGAACAAAAAAATAAATTAAATACATTTATATTAAATAAAATAATGATGTTTCTTCAATTAATTGGTCAGACAAAATTTTTAAAGACAACATATTTTTCTTCTGGCATAGAGATAAAAAAAAGTGAATTATGGATTTGGTTCATGTGGTATATATCGAAATTTATAATTAAGGGGCTGTTTACCAAACACTTACTCGGTAAGCGCTTACGGGTAAAATTTAACATTACCACTTACTTACCGGGTAAGACTTTTGTCCACAAAAACGGTATTGTATGCAACAATTTACCCAGTAAGCGTTTACCATGATAAGAGTTGTCGCTCTCACTTACCGGGTAAGATTTTTGGTCCTTACCATATTCATCCGGTAAGGTAATGTGACTTGGTAAGCGCTTACCTAGGTAAGCGTTTGGTAAACATCTCCTAATTGACTAGCGTCCTTAAACTTGAAAAATTATGGATATGGTTGTTATTTTCTTATGATTAAGGTCCCTATCACCAGTTCATCATGTCATAAATGGATATTCAAATTCTTTGGAGGGATTTCATTCCAATTCATATCAATTAAATATGTGGTCAAATTTCATTCCAATTCCTTTGAATTTAAATTATATTGATGGATTCTAATTTCATTTAAGATTTGATTTAGGGTTTTATTGAGGTTTTCTAGTTAAGATTTGATTTCTGTTTTTTTAATTAGAAATAGATATTCATGTTTTTGATTTGGGATTTGTGGACTAAACTTATTAGAAACAATCCATAATTCTTTTTGTTAATGTGTATGTGTTGAGAAGATGAGTATGTAGGGACCGTTTATCAAATACCTACCCGGTAACTGCTTACCAATAAAATTTAACACTACTATATACTTACCGGGTAAAATTTTAGTTTACCAAAACGACATCGCATGCAACAATTTACCCTGTAAGTGTTCACCATGGCAAGAGTCGTCGCCCTCACTTACCGGGTAAGACTCTTGGTCCTTGTCTCGTTTTTACCGGGTAAGATTCTTGGTCCTTATCATATTCTTCCGATAAGATAATGTGACTTGGTAAACGCTTACCCGAGTAAGCGTTTGGTAAACGACCCCTTACTCACAAAATAGAAAAACAAATAAAAAACCCATAAAATGACTGAAATTCCCTTAAATTTGAGTTTATAGACGTTAGTTATAATTTGTATACAAGTAGGATAGCAATAGCACATGAATATTTCAAATCCAATAATTCATGCCAATGTTCAAAATACACCCCCAAGGTTTCAGAAACATTCATTCAGAGCACCCTACTTTTACTTTTCATACATTAAACTACCTTCTTACACATCTACCAAATTCCTCCCCAAAATTTCCATCCTATCGACCAAAAATCCACCCAAAAACACATCAAACCAACAGAACCCAGACCAAAAACAAAACCACCCCTCCAACGAACCTCCCCATCAACCGATCTGCACCACCAAAATACGGCTCAATCATGACCACGAACCGGCATGTTCCAGTCGAAGGGTCTTCTTTCGTGACCGTTGAAACATTCGGAAACTTGCAAGCTTCATCGGCCTGATCGTTCTTCTGATAGTAACTATTGAAAGCATATGAAATGTTCCCTTTCGCGTCCAAATCACCACACGAGGTTCCATAGCCGAGGCTTGTGCAATCGCCGAGTGCGCATGCATAGCTCACCGACTGTGCGATCGATGGGTCGTCAAGCTTAGCCGAGTCCTTCATCACGCACCATTTTTTCTGCAAATATTTCACGCCAGTGGCAGGAATCAGAGCTCCGGAATTGGTTGTTCCGAGGTTTAACGAGTATTTCGGTTGTCCATCGTAGTAAAACACTCCCCAGTGTCGTTCAAAGTTTCCCGGTTGGATACTTTTGTCATCTTCGTCAATTAAACTGAACATATACGCGTCGATGGGGCCCGTTCTCATCGGGGTCCCTCTATTTCCGGAAATATGAGTCATGAACCCTTGCATGAACCTTTGCGCGTATTTATTATTAGCGTTTCGATCTCCGTCACTCGGCCATCCGATCTCACCGATTATGATTCCCATATTCGTGAATCCGTTCTTCTGTAACGCCCACACAAGCGTATCGTAATTAGCGTCAAACATGTTCGTGTACGTGGTCCCACCGTCATTCACCGGAGTTGCGTTGCCATCAAAGAACGCGTACTCAACCGGGAAACTCGATTCGATGTAAAGGCTTATGAACGGGTAGATGTTGACGGTGAAGGGGGACCCGTTGTCGTTTAAGAACTTGGTTATTTGGATCATGAAGTCGTGGATGTCTGCTCGGAAATCGCCGCCCGAGGGTACCCCGGATGAACTCTCGTAAACGTCAGCATTTTGCGGGACCGTAACCTTGACTTTGCTTCCGAGTCCGGCTTTAATGAGTGCCGCTTGGATGTTTTGGAGAGCCGGGAAGGTGGTTCGCAGAAAAGTTCCGTTATACGTTGCTAAAAATGGTTCATTCCCGACCGCAACATACCTATAAGAAAACATCACTACGAGAATAACAAATAGGTTGCCAACATTATACTTGTATAAACAACAAAGGGTGTGTTTGGCATGCAGACAATACAATACAAAAAACTTGTTGTCCTACGTTTGGTGTGACAATTAGACTGGGATATGACGAGCGAATCGGAAAAAAATACAGTTTTTTTGTCCCGCCAAAATAGTTGGAACAAATATCAAAGAGATTGGACAAGGTAAAGTAAATCGTCATATAAAACCTTAAAGCATTCCATAGTTCTTTCACCCGCCTACTCACTCTCGCAGGTCCAGTCTGGTCCGGTCAGCTAAACAAACACATACCATAGTATAAAACATCAATAGTACGAAACCACCCTTTTCAGAAACGAATAAACTACGCATAACGTCACGCGAACATCGAGCAAGTATACTTAAATCCGCAGTTGGTTAATAAAACCGAAAGGGTAACTTGGTAACTTATCATATAAGGTGGAATCAACCAACAGATCTGCTAATCAAATAGGGTTGCAATTAGAGCCATAGTCGTTGATACGCTGATCTGAGATCATTCAAGATTACGCATGAACTGATGCAAAGCTTGGAACTTTTGATGTTTTCCAACTTAAACGTCGTTACAATCATGCTAAATCTTCTAAATATGCAACGAATTTATAGCGTAGATATAACAATATTGATACGAAATCCCCATTTTGACGTCTTAAAATATGTTAACAAAAACCGAAACTTCATCTAGAAAAACTTACGCCTGTAACCCAGGATTTAGTTTCCGAAGGATCTTCTTACATTTTTGCAAAAAGGTGACTCCGAATTCGATATCCAGCCACAAATCTTGGAACTTTTGATGTTTGCCATAAAAAAGACATTCCAAATCATGCTAATCTTCCAAACTATATAGTAATTCGCGTAATAGCAACATTAAGCCCCTGTTATCCGTTTTAAAATCCGAGAACAGCATCAAAACTTCATCTAAACCAGCCCTAACCGTTTTGCCATTGAAAATGTCACCCAAATTAAGCTAAACATGTAAACCAAACAGTAGGGTCTTAAAGATTTAAACCCCTATGATAGCCAAAAAGGGATTAAAACAGCATCTAAACCAACATTTACCACATTCTAAACAGTAAACAAATGCCACACCGGTGCACCATGGTTCGCAGTTCACCTTCTGGTCACAAAACCAGTAACTTAACCGGTGGCTCGAAGTTAAGTTTAAACAGTAAATGAGTGCCACAGGTGCACCATGGTTCGCAGTTCACCTTCTGGTCACAAAACCAGTAACTTAACCGGTGGCTCGAAGCTAAGTTTAAACAGTAAATGAGTGCCACAGGTGCACCATGGTTCGCAGTTGACCTTTTGGTCACAAAAACCAGTAACTTAATTGGTGGCTCGAAGCTAGACCCTAGTTTAAAACGTAAATAAACAGAACTGAAATTCGTGATTAAGAAGGAGAAATCTAACAAATCAGGGTTAACTAAGATGAAAAACCAGAAAAGAAATCAAACAACTGCTGACCTGATGTCGACATTATTATTGATATGATCTGAAACGTTTTTCGAAACCCATTTTTCAGCAGCCTTCATGCTACTTGCCATGGTTGCAAGCATGTCATTAGGGATTCCAACCATAACTTGAATTCCAGACTTACCCAGAGCTTTCAGAGCACCATAATCGGCATCAAAAAGCTTCACCTTTTGGATTCCATTATCCTTCAGCATTTTCACCACCGTTCCCGGTGGCAGTGGGTGAGACGACTGTGTTCCCCAATTAGCCCCAATTCCATTCACCGACTCAATCCAACAAAGGAATGGAATCAAGACTAGTGACATCAAACAGAATCGAAAAAACCCCATTGAAACTTCTCACCGATTATGATTTATTGCTTGCTAGTTGCTACCCACAGATGATTTATACCGAGAATCTTAAAGGGTGCCCTTTTTTGCTTTCTTGAAAAGGAGAACTGGAATTCAAGAACCCCAAATCAAGAACGGATTTTTAGGTACCCAGATTGGAGCTAGTGCTTGTACAATCAAAACCCACGAAAACTTAGAACCAGAAAAGGCAAAAAGAAGAAGAAAATGGTAAAGTTCAGAAAGAGAAAAGAACGAGATAGAGATCAAGAAGGGGGGTTTCAAAGTGCAAAGATTTGAAGATGATATGGGTATCGACAGAACAGAAAAGAACACAAAATCAAACAATGGACCCAGAAAGAGACTCTTGAGCAGAGCTGAGCACGGTTGGTAACTAATCGCTGAAAGAGGCTTCCTCGGTTAAACAAAAATATAACAAGTGATACAAAACACAAACAATAGTGTTACGGATAAAAACAAGATTCTTTTCTTTTAATATTTCTCTTATATATTTTAATAATTACCTTTTTATATTAAACTAGAATGATACTTGCGTATGTAACGAGATACATCTTGATTTTAATATTTTATTTTATTTTCTATTTCAGTCGATGTTATATTATGGTTTTATGTGATTCTGAGAAAACGATAATGTTTTTATTTTTTAATAAAATATAAGTTTGAAGATATTATAAAAAATTGACAAAAATATATTGATATTAGTATCAAATTGGGCTATTTGAAATTTCTCATTTTTTGTATAATTTTTTAATTCAATTTTTTATCATTTAATTTAGGTACAACAGTAATTTATATTTGGTTTAATAATATAAAGTTCTCATAAAGATAATAGTTATTTATTTTGTTAGAACTCGATAATTATTCTAATTATATTTTAGATTTTTTTTTATTTTAAAATAAGATGTTTATCATATATTTGATTATGTTTATCCGCAGTTAGTTATACGAATTCAAATATCGAGATTTAATAAGTTGTATTTATGCGTAATTTATTTGTAATCTTAAATTTTAAGTAATATGCATCAATATACAGTATTTTATATATAACAAAAATATATCGATATTCGTATCAAATTAACTATTTAAAATTTCTCATTTTTTGTGTAATTTTTTGATTCAATTTTTTATTATAATTTAATTTAGTTACAATAATGAAGTAATTTATATTTGGTTTAATAATATAATTTTCTTATAAAGATAATAAATAATTATTATGTTAGAACTCAATAATTATCCTAATTATATTTTTGATTTTTTATATTTTAAAATAAGATTTTTATCCTCTATTTGATTATGTTTATCTGCAATTAGTTATACGAATTCAAACATCGAGCTTTAATAAATTGTAATTTTACATAATTTACTTGTAATCTTGAATTTGAAGTACGCATTGGTTTTATGTGGTTTTGAGAAAGTGATAATTTTTTAATTTTGAATAAAATATAAATTTAAAAATATCAAAAAAAATTGAAAAAAAATATCGATATCAGTATTAAATTAATCTTTTTAAAAGTTTTTGTGTTTTGGTGTAATTTCCTTAATTAAATTTTTTAATTATAATTTAATTTAGGTTTAGTAACAAAGAAATTTAATTTAGGTTTAATAATATAATTTTTTATAGGAAAAATTGCATCAAAATGGAACTAACTTTCACCTTATTTCTATTTTGGGAAACCAACTTTTAAAATCTTCATTTAAGGGTCTCTATCAAATTTTTTGTTTATTTAAAGGCCTGGTTGACCTGTTGAACAAATAATAGGTAATTTGATATGACTTGTGAGAAAATTATTTAAACAAATATTATGTGAAATTTATTTTGACAAATCATCATTATAATTAAAACAAATCAAAATAAAGTCCGCTTCACGTCTCCTACCTCGGTCGCAATCCTACCTCTCCCTCTTCCTTCAATCATCGTTGTCCCATAGCCTCCTGCCGCTATAGCTTTCTGCCCTCTCCAACAGCCGCTGCCCCTCCCTCTTCCTTCAATCGCCGTCCCATAGCCTGCTACCGTTGTAGCTTTCTGCCCTCTCCGACAGTTGCTGCCCTCTTCGGCAGGCTGTCCTCTTTTCATTTGATATTTAATATTTATTTTCTATTGTATCAATTAATTATTTTTTTCTATTAAAAAATGAGATTTGGAAACATCTTCAATTTGATATTTGAATTTTTTTTATTTAAAATACGAGATTTGGAAAGAAAAATAGATTTTATTGCATTAAATTTTTTATAATTAATTTTTGAAAAAAAACAAATTTTAGTTAATTTTATATAATTATTTTGCAATTTTAAAATATGACGTGAATTTAAAATAAAAAATTAATATGACGTGGAATATCTTAGTTGACAAAAGATCTGGATTATGTCAGCATTAAGAGGTCTACCAGACCCTTAAACAAACAAAAAGTTTGATAGAGATCCCTAAATGAATATTTTAAAAGTTGGTTCCCAAAATAGGAATAAGGTAAAAGCTGGTTCCATTTTGATGCAAATTTTTTTTTTTTTTTATAAAGATAATAACTAAGTATTCTGTTAGTTATCAATAATTATCCTAATTATATTTAAAATGAGATATTCATCCAATATTTAATTATGTTTATCTGCAGTTTTTTTTTTAAAACAACAGATTTTATTAAGAAACCACCGAAGGCTAGCAAGATGCTAGCACTTACAACAAAACCGCTAAATGGCTGATACACCAAGCATACCAATCAAGAGTATTACAAGACTTCGATCTAATTCTAATCCAATTATACGAAAAAAGCACGATCTCCTTGGAAATCACCACCGAGCTTTTTATGGGTTTGTTGAAGACTAGTGCATTGCGATTCGTCCATATCACCCAAATGAACGCCATGAGAATTACTTCCAACGCCTCCTTAACCCTCTGCAGTTAATTAGACGAATTCAAGTATGGAGCTTTAATAAGTTGTACTTATGCACAATTTACTTGCAACCTTAAATTTTAAGTAATATGCATCAATAAACAGTACTTCGTGCATAATAAATCGTTTTTAAAAGTTTTTGTCAAATGTCTTATAATATAGTATAGATATAATATTTAGAGTAAATTATAGATTTCGTCCTTCAAGTATTTTCCAAACCAAACCAAACCGTCAGACCGTTTAAACCGCAAAAAACGGTCTGGTTTGATTTGGTTTGGCCGGTTCAAACGATCCAACGGTTTTTTTGAACATCCCTAATATTGGTTTTTATAAAAGTAGTTCTTAAACTTCATTTATTACTTTTTCACAGTTTTGGTCCTTCACCAAACGGTCATCCAATAGGTCTATTAAATTTTGGAGCAAAATGGTATTTCTTTTTTTCTATTTTTCTGAATTTTAACTTCTTTAATTAACAATTCTAAACTAGGTGCCAAAATGTGTGAGTTTACACTTGGAAGGCCAATATTCATCTTCTTCTACCTCCATTGTTCCCGACTTAAAACCATCGAAGTTATCAGATCAATCCTCGTATCAAGTGTGATTTATGGGTCAGATTAAAGGTGGATCAAGGGTGGAGATCTTTTTTTTATGCGTCTCACTTTAACTCTTCATCTCATACAATCATTCGCTTATAATATTATATATAATAGGTCCCTAATTAAATGAGAACTTTTTTGTTTGTGGTAACTGTGAGATCCAATATCAACCACAAATCAAATGTCAAATTAAGAAATTAATAATTTGGTAGTTTTAACTTAAAATATTAATTAAGGGCATTTTAGGAATTTTATAAATATCATCTCTCCTCTCTCCTCTTTCTTCTTTCTGACGAACCATATTCCGATGAATCTTATGTGAACACAAGATACACACTGTGATACCTACAAACGATATTCATAGTGATATCCAAATCTATACTATTTTATTAAGCAAATTTAGCAAAACTCTTAAAGTCTTAAAATACTAAATGACCAAGATACCCTTACATCACTTTTTCACCCCCTCATCTTCTCATATACACTCACCCTCTCACATAAACTCACCCTTTCACATTGAGCTGATATTTTTAAAATTATAATTTTAAATTTACACTTTATACTCCTATAATTAGTTAATTAATTTACTTTACGTCTTTTACTTTTAAATGTTTCATTTTAAACTTTTATCAAATTAACATACATAATCGTATATCAATTAAAACATGTTTAAAAAATACATTTTTATTTTAACAAGTTACACCAATATATATATATATATATATATATACATATATACACACACACAAACATATGTTTTCTACTATATTCAATAAGCCAATGATAATAAAAAATTTATATTGAGTTATATATTAAATGAATAAGACCTTAAAAAGGTAAGAAAACTCAAATATCTTTTTATAAAAATCGTGTATTAAGCCATGATGTGTCACAGACTTAACATGGTATAAAACACAAGTCTTGAATTACGACGCGTCATGACGACTATTAAAACGGGCCTTTTAATTAAATCATTGATTAAAATATGCTAAACATATTAAATATTGTACTTTTAATATGAAAAAGTACAACATTATTTGGCATACAATTAGACAAAAAAAACATTTTGAAATGTTAAAATATCAGTTAATAAACAATAAACGAAGGAATCTTGATCTATATCATATTACACATGCTAGTTTTTTTTTGTTTTACTCTCATCAAAAGGCAGTTTAAATAATGATTAATAATTAAAGTTTTTTTTTATTAAATGATATAATATATATATATATATATACTATATTAATAAGTATTTACATCAAAGTTCAAAGGCCGTTTATATATATATATATATATATATATATATATATATATATCCAAAATTCAAAATTCAAAGGCCGTATGTTCCCAAATTGATAATTCTCGCTCTAAAGAATGATGATTCAACTCCCAAAGTTTCCTCTTCTAGCTATTGCGATTGAGTTTCGGTGGCGGACTCACCTTTAGTCTTCACGGTTCCTATCAAATCGTCGACTACCTTCTTCATCGCTCTCTCAGTCACTCCATAATTCCATATGAACGTTTTGAACAATATCTCAATGAATTTCTTATAAATGATTTTATTTTCCAGTTTATTCAAACATAATTCCGAATGTCATTTTATAAATTACAAGTGTAGGAAAAAAAACATCATGCCTACGTTAGTATTTAAAATGTAGGAACAACAAATATTACGACATTGAAAAATATCGTAATCCAACAATTCCAATTCACATAATATTCATTCAAAATAACAAATTCATATTCAAACTGAAAGGACAAGCGTTTTCCATTTGGCTTGGTCTTTCTATGACAATCATGTGTTTATTTGTTGTAATCGTCAATCGATATTCTCGCTTACATTTATACAAAATTTTATACCCGCCACA